CTTGAGCGCTGCCGTGCAGCTTTGCAGCAGTCTCCTCGTTGCTCCGCAAAGTAGGCCGCTCGAAAGGTATCGGACCCCAACTATAGCTTCGATTCTAGTGAAGCAGCGGCTCTGTCTGGCTGACTCCAGCCCGCGCTGGGGTGGGCACAGCCAAACATCTGGGCTTCCTGGGCGGATGTGTCGCGCTCACAGACGTTGCTCAACAAGCTTGCCTTGGCTCTGCCAACCTCATGAGGATTGTGCTTGCACTGGTGCTCCGCCTTCGCCTGCTGCTTCCATTGCTTATTCTTGCTGCTGCTGGTGGACCGTTCAAAGCCCATCCATACCGGTCGGGACGCTGGGCAAGGTCGCCTAAGCATCGGCCTAAGGGTTTGTACTTGTGCCGCACCCGCGGTTCTCTGAAGATATCCCCTTTAACAGTGCCGCATCCCGAAACCGGAAACCGACTCTGCCTCCGAATGAAAGTGGGGTGACCGATGGGCCGAGTATCTTGAATTGTGCTCGTGCACCCGGGCCCAGCAAAGTCAAACCGCCATCCTCGGTTGATCGGAAGACCCTGCAATGTGATTCGCAGGCTTCTGAAATACTGCCTTACGCTTTTTTTGCACTAACAGGTGCATGACACAGTGTAAAGAAGACTTCGATCACTACCGAGATGCCAGAAACCAGAACAACAAGACAAACTCTCCGACCCGCACCAGTTGCACCCCAGATTTGGCACACTTGGCCACTGTAGTACCTTTTGAAACAAACTGCACGTTCTTCAGCTTCAGAACACATCTTGCCAACGACACACAGAAGAACCGCCCGCCCTGCCAAATCTTCGTCGAGATGCTTCAGGAGCCGGACCGGGATGTTCCAACGCCCGTGGCGGTCTGAATGCCGATCGAGCCTCCGGAACGCGGGCGGGCGGCGGGCGGCTGAGGGCGGGATGCAGGCTATCCGGCGAACGGGACTTGCAAGGTGTTCTCTGCCACAGGTGCTTCGAAGGCATGATGCAGGGCTGAGTTCGAAGGCGAGCTTTGCAGTTGTCTGGCTTTGGTTCCAAAGTCAGGGCAGTCCAGGGGCCTGTGGGCCGAGGAGCGGTGCTTCCGAGAGCAACACAGCGGGCTCTGCATCAGGTGGCTGCATGGGCACAACCGCCGGGAATACACAGGCCTCCTCGAAAGACGAGTTGCAGGCAGGGGATGCGCGAAGCAAGAGTAAGCCAGGAGTATCACTGCTTCGACGGTTCTGCGTGTAGTGGACCCGCTAGGTCGTGCAAGTTCAAGTATTGTGTCGTTCGCAATGCAATGGCCTAGCGAATGATGCAGCACGGCTGCACTTGCTTCTGCAGAATCTCACCTCGTGTCTTGGTACTCTCACCTCTCACTAGGCAATGAACTTCCAAAGCTCCGCGAAATGTCCCATGCAAGGAGAGGCTCTGCTCGGACGGTGTTGGCTTGAGGCGGTTTGAAGGCTGCTCGGGCTTGTGCACCGAAGGCTCGGCCTGGCACGACCTCAGGCACGTGGTCGCATTTCTTGCGTATGACGGATGAGTTGATACGACGAAACAATACCACCATTGCAAAAGAAACCATGACATTCGGTGGTGCCCTTTGCCACAAGCCTGTGTTCTGATCCCGTTCTCCCTTAATCGTAAACCCCCAAATAAACCTCGGAAAGTGCTTTTTCTTACCATGGGGTGTTTCTATCGCTACTGTCACTTACTGAGAGGGGGATCTTTTATCTTTCTCTTGCTTTTGCTGCTGCGCTAGCTTTTGCTCCCGCTCCCGTGCTTGCTCATAAACCCCCGCTCTTGCTCTTGCCCCTGCTTTTGCTTATACTCCTGGTCTTGCTTTTGCTCTTACTCCTTCTCCTACTCTTGCTTCTGAACCCCGCCCGATGCCAAATAGGTTTAAAGACGTGGGGATGATGTCAGGGGGGTTTTCTAAAAGTGTTTGTATTATCAGGGGAGCCGCGCTTCGTGGCCCACAGTTCTGGGGCTCGAAGTCGCCATCTTCCACAATTTCCACCACCTGCAGTAATTGCGACCGAAGCTCCGGATGGATCCGGCAACTCATATCGCAAACCCCAGTACTCGCGGAGACAAAGACACTGGTTAGCTGGTTTCTCCCTACGCCCCTGCCGGCAGCTGAACTTGCCCTGCAAATCCCGCATGCAAGCACACAGGCATGAGCTCTGCTGCGTGCGATTTCCACAGTTTCAAGCAACATATGATCACCGAAATACGGGCGAGGTTTTAGCCACATGCACGTATGCATGTATGTATATACAAGCACATAAACCTAAACAAACATGTACTTCTATATAAACACATGCACACACACATATACATATATATATATATATATATATACATATATATATATACATACATATATATATATATATATGCAGATGCATATGGTCCTCCTGCCCAGACAGGAACGTCACATTATACAGAAAGGTTCCATAAATACATAAATAAATCAATAAAAACTATATATATATATATATATATATACATATATATATATATATATATCTATCGCCTGACTTCGTATGGGCAAAGCCAACTTCGAGACTCTGACAGGCTCTATATCTCTGGCCCCTCTGGCCACTTAAAGCCAAAGCACCTGGTTTTCTAAGGAAAGCATATTCTCCCCTGCGGGCAGCTCCGGCTGCGTGTCCTCCACGAGCTCGGGCTCGAGGCCTTGCCAGATCACAAATGATACTACATGTAGAGCCTCACATCACGGTACTCTCACATCCATACTTAGTCTACGTATACAGACCGTGTCAGCATTTCACGCCTTCGCATCGCACCCTTAAATACTAGTACCCTCGCAGTCGCAATTAGGTTCTCACCGGCCTGTGGCGGATCTCGGGATTTTTCCGTGGTGGAAATCGCGCTCGTTCGGTTTGGCCGAATGCCGCACGGTTCGGCACTCCTCGGGGCTCGTTCCCTGGAAGTCCCGATGTTCCAAAAGGTTGTGGATCCGGACTTTTGGAAAATCTCGCTCCCAGCGCAGCGCCGCGGCCTTGCGAAGCGCGACTTCCGAAATCGTGTTCAAGCGGCAGTGCCCGTGCAACTTTTGTAGATTGTCTACCGAAATCATGCTCCTGCATTGCCGCGAGTTCTGGGTTGATGTGGGTGCCAATCGTGCTCCTGGTTGTTTGGGTTTATGTTGCTTGGCAGGGCCCAGGCTTGGAGAGTAGGCAGAGCCACCTAGCACCAACTGCCCACAGAACAAGTATGGCGCGGTATACAGATGTCACAAAAACACAACTTCCGAACTGTTAATCTCTCTCCGAGTCGCAAATGACAGGAGTTGCATGTCCGCTTGCGGGCTCAGTCTCTCGAGACTTCGGAGGATACGCGGTCAAGGCTGCAGCGGCGAAGGGGCTCCAGTCTTCACTGCTCTTCATGAAGTCCTGCAGCATGAGTTATGCAATGCCACGTCTTCGTCTTCGGATCTGGCTCCGATGAATTGAACCGTCTGCAAGAGAAAGCAACATTTTATGCAAGCCCTTGGTAGAGCACACCATCGAGCGAAAGACCGGCTAGATGTCGCCCACGGACGAACTTCGCCAAGATCAAGCTTCACCGTGTTACTTAAAACAACAGCCCATTCTCGTGTTTGGACAAGGCAGGCAGGCAGGCAACCACGATAGCGTGACCATTTGTGACAATCTGCAGCACCTTGAGGGCAGCTGAGTTGAATCGGTGGCTCAGAGGGAAACCCCATTGTTGGGCCAACCTTGAACGCCTCGAACGAGGCATTGGCTTTGGGAACCTTCTGGATCTCCATATGGACAGAGGACCCATGTGCGACCAAGACCTTTTGCTGTCAGGGAGACACCTTTGCTCTTCCATCAAACGACTTGGCTTGACTGCTCTAGGCTGGCTCGTCTTTCTCCGAGTTTGTTGTTGCCCTCGCCCTCATGGTACAACATGAAACGCGAGATGACATGACCTAACATTGAGTTCCCAATCATGATTCCCCTCCCCAGCGCGTGCATGTGTTTGGCCTGGCTATCTATTTTGGCGGGGGAGTGATGGTCGAATCTTGTTCTTATCGGTGTTACCGCCTCATACTTCTTGTGTTTGGGGACCGGTGTTTGTTTATTGAAAGCTGCATCAAATTCTCTTAGCTCAGTGCGGAAGGAACCTAATCGAGAACAATTTCCTGTCCTACGCCCTACTACTACTAACTACTACTACTGTAGGGATCCCTCGGGAATGGATGGCACTTGTCGGAGAGCGAGCGTTGAATCGACGGCATCATGCTTAATCCGAGTGGTCACCTGCTGTGTCATGTGGTGCCTTACTGCTCGCAGCCAGCAGTTGTCAGAGGTCCTCCGCAAAACGATCCAAAGCAGGTGGTCGCAGGGATGGCGCCACTGCCGAGAGATCTGCTTGAAACCCGAACATCTCCTTGGCCCAGAGGACTAGCTCTTGGAGCTTTCCAAAAGAACAGAGCGAGTCTTTATGCCAGAGCTCGGCGGCTGCTTCCCAAGGCCTCTTGCTTGGTGCCATCCTCACGCAAAGGGGACCGCCTCCTGGAATCGTGGGTAAGCCTTTCCTCGGTCCCCATGCTGGCTTGTTACGTCAGGTCGAATCATCTAGAAGTGAAGGCAAAGTCTCATGAAGTCCAAATCCCCCGGCTCCAAGGACAGCAAGGCCCCAAGCATGGCGAGGTGACGCGGGTCAGCATGGAATAAGGCTAAGTACGGGAAGGACGCATCGGATCCCGAAAGCGTAATTTTAGGGTTTTGTGTTGTTGCTGTGGACGAAATGGCAATCTCCACTCATGACCTGATACCAGTAGCTGCGCTTTTGCCGGAGCTTGGGCCTTCGGCGTCATGATCCCACACAGAAGACATCAATCTC